GTCCCGTGGGACATTTCTTTAGGCTGTAATCTTCCCAGCTGACAGCCTCATCTCCCTTACCAAGAGCAGCTCCTGGGTTTGAACTGCCTGCGCAGTGGTATTCAACCTTCCTAATGCCGCGACCCTTTTATACGGTTCCTCATGTGGCGGTGAGCCCCAACCATAAAATTATTTTTGTTGCTCTTTTATCACTGTCATTTTGCTACTGTTATAAATCGGGCAACCCCATGAAAGGACCGATTGACCCCCAGATGGGTCTCGACCCACAGGTTGAGAACCGCTGCATCAGTGATGGCTTAGCAACCAAGCACTTAACCACTGCACCACTACAGCGCCTTCCCAATTATCTAGCCCTATAATTTTTCACCTCTTGTTTTAATAACCTATTAAAATACTCCCTATCTGAGGCAAGCAGTTCAAAACCACCACCAGCTCCTCAGGAGAAAGGCAGGCGAAGCTGTCTACTCCCATAAAGAGATACAGTCTTGGAAACCCACAGGGACAGGTCTCCCCTGTCCTATAGGGTTGCTATGAGTTACCATCAACGAGTAGATTCCATCTGGCATCGAGTAGACTCCAACTCAGTGTCCCTCTTAGAGTACAACTGCCCCCCAGAGGGTTTCAAGACTAAAGCTTTCTCCCACAGAGTAGTTGGGTGGGTTTGAACAGCTGACGTGGTTAGCAGCCCAAAGTTTACTTGCTGTATGACCAAAATCCAAATGCAGCTCATGATAAAACTACCGTGAGCACTATTTTTCCACCAGAAAAATGTACAGTCTGCCCTCATTGGAGGCCCTCTATCATGCCCAAACCTCCCCTCACTGATGCCTCCAGGGTAGGTCTCAAGGATAACCTACTGCCCCATCCATCGCATACCCCTAGTGACTCCAAATTGCAGACCCATTGTCAGTCTGCTGGGTGTTTTTCAAAGCTCAGAGCCAAATGGTCCAAGGAAAAGTAGCCAGACTTGTGTTGATCCCAATATTCTGCACAAATGGCTTGCAAGCAAACCCTTTCTTTACTCATTTGCTCTCAGGACACACCCAGCCCCGTAGATGTCAAGCACCAGACAGGAACCATTATTAACACCTTTTCTCAAACTAGCCTGCTGTCACAGCCACAGCTTCTGGATCTAAAGGTGTGGGCGTATTAGTGCCGCAGGATATTTGGTCCCTAAAAAGAAACTTGGCTCTATCTGCATGCATTCTGTTTGTCCATATTTAGTAAGCAGGTGGACGATGTTCATCAGCACATAGGCATTGTGGAATCTTCATTTTTCTCAGTTAACTTTTTTGTTTGTTTATGAATTCTAGAATTATGCATGTCTCTGATGGATCTTAAACGTGTGGGTGCAGATCCCACAACTATGGGTGACAGATAAAGCAGGCAGCTTCCACTGCCTAACGAACTCATGGGAAACTGCTAGAAAAATGCCCCAACCAAGGGAGTTCCCTGTCATCAAGTTGATTCCCACTCAGAGCACCCTGGAGGGCAGGGTAGAACTGCCCCTGTGGGTCTCTGAGGCTGTGAACCAGTGCTTCCCAAAGTGGGC